AGATAAAAATGTTCAGTCTCTCAGAGTCTCTGAAAGCGAGACTCGAGTCTCCGTTTCTCATCTAGTCTCTCTGGTGTCGCTGAGAAAGACTGTCAAAAAAACTGTTTAGCTACTCTGAACGAGAGACTCGAGTCGCTCATAGAGAGATCCTCATTTCGTATCCAGTCTCTGAACGAGAGACTCGAATCTCTGAATTAACAATTTTATCGTTCGAGTCTCTTATACAGAGACTATGAGAGATCCATAAAAACACCTAGGCAATAACTGTGAAAGACTGTGAGAGACGCTCTTGGAGACGCTGAAAGACTCTGAAAGACTCTGAAAAACTGGAGAGAGACTGGAAATTTTTATCTAGGGTTACAAAGATGTATGGTTTAGGGACAGTCTAAGGATTACTTCAAATTGTTAAGTAACTAATTGTAGTATTAAAACAAAATTTTAGCTGCTGCAATCATTAGAATGGTAAGATACATCCTTGGAAACAATAACTGGAGACAAGGGCTTATAGATTATATATCACAAAAGTACGTAGGATATTCTGCACAATTTTTAAGAGAAAGTACTTTTAACTAATTTCTTTTTGTTACAACCTTAGCCAATATGTAACAGGAACCCCCGACCTTCTGTATGCTGCATGGTCAACTTACTCTCCATCCTTACCCTCAGGATTAACCTTAGCGACTATTTTAAGCAGTTGGGCCGATGTGGGAGGTTACCCTCTGGTGAAAGTATCTTTATCTGGTAATGACGCGGTCATATCGCAGGTAAATTTTCATTCAACTTAAAACTTGTATTATCCTTTTCGAACGGACACATTTAAGACAGAGATTATCTTTCAGAAACAATTTCTACTAGATCCTTCGGAATCATCGAGCAGTCAATGGTACGTACCCCTTACCTACACCACCTCCCTTGAAAAGAATTTCGACAATACAACAACGTCTCGTTGGTTGATACCAGGACAAAACGTAACGATTTCTAATATCCTTCAAGGGGGATCCGGTTGGGTGCTTTTAAATCTTCAACAAACTGGTAACTAAACTTTAAATTCTTAGGTAGTGATTAATCCAAACTGTCGTATATGTAGATCGCGATTTCAAAGCTTTTTGCTTCCATCAGCACACCGTGCAGACAGTGCCGACGGAACAATGATCAACCGCCTTGTTTCCATTAAACAGCGTTCAACTATTCATGATTGAAAAAATAAAGATTTCAACCCTTATAAATCCGTCTCAACAATACGAAAAATACATGTTTCACAAAATTATATTATTATTATTATTTCAGGACATAATTATTTTTGCAACAANTAGTAGCTAGGATGTCACCCCTTCCAAAACTCACTTTTCCAGGGATCATATCTTTCATCACACTGGAGGGTTATTCTGCTATCACTACATTGGAATTCGTATACAAATAGCTTGTCTCACTCGCACAGAATAGCTCACGAAGAGACGATTAAAGTTTGTCAATTAACTGTTTCGATTGATGGGCTAACAATTAGGGAACGTGTGAGTGAAAACGACTATTCGTAAATTCGTTGGAGTAGACAGTGGAATAGCCTTTCTGATGCTGTCGTTGGAAATGTACGTTATACTGTTACTGCGTTAGGATTCGTATACAAATAGCCGTTTTGACTTGCACAGAGCGGTCGATGGAGGTGATATAAGAGATGTCTAAGGTTGGTCCAACAAGCGTTCCGGTCTATGGACCAACAACTACGGAACGTGCAAGTAAAAACGACCGTTGGTAAATTCATTGAAGTGGAGAGTGGAATAGCCCTCTTGATGCTGGTTTTGGTGATACATGTTCTATTGTCATTACATTGGGATTGAGATACAAATAGCCGTTTTGACTTGCACCGAACGGATAATGGAGGAAGCACAAGAGGTGCCTAAGGTTGGTCTATCAAGCGTCCCGGTGTATATACCAATAACGACGGAACGTGCAAGTGAAAATAACTATTCGTATACTCATTGGAAAGGACAGTGCAATAGGCCTCTTGATGCTGTTGTTGGAAGTACACGTTCCACTGTCATTTCATTAGAATTGGAATACAACAAGAACAGAAACAGGAGTTATACTTCGTTTACTTTCTGTAGCGATGTGACCTTCAGTTTGACCGGCGCAAACTAGTAAAGAACAGCACTAGGCCAGAAATGGAAGGAGACAACTCCCAGCTAAACTCTTAACCGGTGAGGAGCGTATAATTCGTACAGTACTGCACGGAAAAATTGATCATTTTATCTACTACAATTGCATTGCTCAAATGTGCTGGTAAATTGGTACTATTTACTACTGAAAATATCAACGAAATGTTTAGTTATATTTGAAGACATATGAAGGCTTTAACGCTTGTTTTCGACTCGCACTACTATTCATGATTGAACAAAACTTTTGGCAGGTACTGTATGAAAAAGTATGTTTAATGAACAAAAGTCGAGAGTATAATGAGCTTTTTTCTCCCTACCTACGATTTTGCCAGCGCGCATTAGAAGCATTAGAAGGGGCACATCGCTAGAGAAAGTAAATGAAGTATACCTCTCGTCGCTTAATGCTCAGAGCATTGGCGTGTAAGGCCAAAGGTCCCGGGGTCGATTCCCGACGAGAGTATAACAGCAGCAACAATCTTTCTCAATTAATTTGTAGTAATCAGTTGAATATTAAGTCACTAGTGTTAAAAAATTATTAGAAATTAGCTTTTCAGTTTTCTATCTAATGAGACTGCAACAAAATTTTGCGAATAAGTACAAAAGTACTCCCCTTTTGCGTTCACTCGATCTGTTTCATATATTTTTGGTACTAATCTACTAAAACCAACATAACTTTAATCTTTTTTTAAAGCGTCATGTTTTGAATCTAATGGATCCACTTTACAAGAGCGTGTCGTTCGCAAGAAATTCTTCAGAATCTTACGTGGATGTGCAGAAAAAAAGTTACGCATTGTTCTGGGCTTGTACTCTAAGGCATCCTGATTGCATACAAAAAGCCCAGAATCAGTATAGTTCTTTAGTTAGAAGCAACACCCCGTAAGTACCACTCAAAGGATAATGCTTAAATATAGATCAGAATTGTACCAGAAGCGAAAAATAACGTATTGGTATTCTTAGAATTTTCATAAATTATATTATTATTTATTATTTCTTCCTCTGCCCTAAAACTACTTTGTCGTTAAAGAAAAACGGTATTAAGTATTGTTAAGATCTGAAAAAGTTTGAGAAATATTGATGGGGATGAAACAACAAAACCAATGCTCAGAGGTGGATCGAAATGATTGGGGAAGAATAAAGATATGAATTTAATTTCCTAGAGTCAAATTTACATTCTCATTCTCGACACTTTTAAATTTCGAGTGTTATAAACAGACGTTTATTTTAAGAAATTTTACCATTTCTATAGTCATTGAATTCCCTCTCAGGCAATCAAATAAATAATAATTTCATAAAAGTGAACCCCCAACAAATTTGTCATCATTAATTTCTAGTGTCAACCCTGACGTAAGAAGTGTGGTGTACTGTACAGGTTTGAGATTTTCTAATAACTCTGCCGATTGGTACTTCTTATGGAATAAATTAACACAAGAGACCCTCCCTTCAGAAATCGATCTTCTCATGAACGGCTTGGGATGTTCCAGGAACGAAAGTTTACTCAATGAGTGAGTAATTTGTAGACTTTCGAAAATATAGTAGAAGATTGAAAATATGAACTGGTCTCAAGTGATAAAATCCAACTTTTCGCTTAAAAGTTTGTGAGCTTTTTCAAGAATTAACAACAATACATTATTAATTGAAATATTGTTTGCCAAAATTAATGAAGAAGAACATTTAAGTTTGTTGAATTAATAAAAATTAGCAAAATAGAGTTTCAACCACTATGTCGACTACAAAACGTCCTTTTTATGGATAATATAAATGAAATATTATCAGGTAACATTAAATACAAATATATATCCAATTAAATGCACTAAAAAGCACAAATAATTCATAATAATATAATAAACTGTGTAGACAATTTTTGGAAAATTTTTGCAAGTTAAAAAATTAAGACCTTCAACCAATCAAAGCACCAAACAATATAAATATTATACCTACGCAGTTGATCGTTTTGTATTATTAATATTGTATTAATTTTTGAAACTTAAATTTACTGTTTCATCATTTTTGTCAAAGGATTTCAACTATATTTAGTCCTTAAAGGAACTTTTGAGCGAAAGATTGTTTTTATGCCCTAATAGCAGTTCAAATTTACATTTAGTGTACAAAAATCCGTAGAGAATATGGAAATTCTTAAAAAATATATATATGCATCTTAGTCAGTTAATTTAATGTTTATTTCTAGGTACTTGAACCACGCCTTAAACTCTTCGAGTGGTATAATACGAAGCCAAGATGTTAGTTCAGCATTTTTTTCAGTTTATGCGAGTAATCCCGAAGGAATCAATATCACGTTAAATTACATACGAAACAATTATCAAAAGATTATTGATTAGTAAGTCTACTCTATGTATTAATATTTGCTGTCAAGAACTAAAGCTAATCTTTAAATGTCATCGTTTTTCGGGTTTTTTTGTCAGGTAGATGAATTATCTAATACTTTTGTTTTCAAGTTTCAACAGTACCTCAACATTGCTGAGTATTTTATCCGACATGGCAAACAGGATGACTTCCGAAAGTGAAATTCAAAAGGTACACTACACTCTTATTTTTATTGAATAAAGATTAATTGATCGTTATCTCTCATTAATACAGTTAGAGTCGTGGATTTCCGAAAATTCAAGCAGTTTATCGTCTATTTCATCCGAAGTGCAGAGCTACATTGCGAATGCAAGAAATAATCTAGTTTCGGATCAACAAATTGCGACTGAATTATATAATTTCTATGTTTCCAATAATTCATCNAAACGTTGCCTTCACCTCAAAACCATACTTAAATCTTTTTTTATAGATGTATCCTTTTTATTTTACAGGAATGTATACGTTTTTATTTTACCGGAAATTAAAAGACTAAACGTACTTACATTACCAGTCGTTTGCCATTAAAATTTACATCTTTCTCGTCCAAATTCCATACCGAACACTTGCGATAGATAAAGTTTTGCATCCCAAACACTATATTTTCACTACCACTCTTTATTAAAGTCACCATTTCAAAAACGCCGATTTTGTTATTAACGTATTTAAATTCACAATTAAATATTCCGTGCGAAAACCATTACCCAAAAGCTCACCGAGACAACTGACTCAAGGACACTTTCACTTTTTAAAGACGAGCATGCGTGCAATTTCTTGTCCTGTGTTAGATATGTACCTATCGAGCATGTGCAGACAGTCAGTTATTTAAGCAAATCTTAAAGCCGCGCACAGACTGAGCGACAACAGCCCGCGACAAGGTTTCCGATTTTATCATTTAACAAACAAATAAATCAGTTTATTATTATTATCTATATCTATAAATATCATAAAAATTGATTTATTAATTATTTGGACTAATGCCAATCGTTCGTGGTAAACCTAGAAGTTTTGTTTACCGATTTAATTCATTTTTTAAAGAAAAACAATGAAATTTTGTTAACTGAAAATTAAGAAGTCTATTAATCCAATACTAAATATAAGAATAAAACTTTTGCCACTTGTTGAAGATCAATTCTACAATCTTTAAATTTCAAACTCAGGTCATCTTTGGGCATCTCTTCAATCAGTATCATTGTCCATTCGATACTTGCTAACATAAATACCATTTGGAGAACCGGACGGAACACCTGGACATCCAGTTTTCCGCATTATTTTAAGTCCAAAGGTGGCAATTACCCAATTAAGATCTATACTCATTTTTAGCAAAGTTTTTTATACAATTCCGTTGCTACAACTTCATTACTTTGATAATACTGAACCATCGACTTGGTTCAAGTCCAGATTCTAACCTCGCAGTATCAAATGTATGTATTAAGAAATGATAGTGAATGGATTTTAATAAATCTCCAAAGTACAGAAGATTATTTTGAAGTTTTGAAGCGATGTTGGATATTTTGTAAAACGAAATATAACCAAATAATTTTTAGGCAATTACTTCTATTCACACAGACGATATCCATCATTGATCTGAGTATTTTAATCTCATATCGGCAAAAAAAAAATTTAATCCAAGTTTAAAGCGACCAATGCACTGAATGGGATCAAACAGTTGACAGAAAGATTCCATTAGTGTCTAAGGCTACTAATCCTGCTTGATTTATGGAACAAGCAACGTCCATGTTGTAAATTGTCAAACGTACTATGTACAGGGTGATTCTCAAACTGAAGCTAGCAATACAGGAAAAATTGAGATAACATTTTAAAAATAACATAGAAAGGATTTCTTTTGAAAGTCAAAATATGGACATGTTCGAATAATATACCCGAGTCAAAAAATTGGGACTCATTTTGTCCTCGTTTGATCTCAATAGAATTTTTAGGGATATTTCAAACTACGAGACTCAAAAGTCTCATTTTATCCGCGGTTTTCCCGTATCAGGACAAAATGAGACTTTTGAGGAGTAAAGATTATTTAGGAAACCTCATTTTGTCNATTAACTTCCCTTATTCAAACATTGGAATTGGTAAACTGGATCTGGTTGCTATTCCCGACTTTGCGTCAGGAGCTATGGAGAATTGGGGGCTTGGCACTTTCAGGTAAGCAATGTTGTTATTATTTATTGTTCATAAGATATTCATATTAATTATTATTTAAACATATTAAAAAGTTTTACGCTCATTATTAATAGAGATTAAAACTGAATATTTTTTTGTTACGAAGTTGAAGCATATTCACTGCCAAAAGTCAGTTAAAAATTTTCCATATTCGTTATTTCTTATTTTATTCAAAGTTTTTGGTCAAATTGCAAATTTTCTCTCAAACCGTATATTTTTTTTTAGTATAGATAGTATTTATTTACCTCATGATATGCCGTAAAACCTAATTAATCACGAATTTCTAATTTAATGTACTCTTGTCTCCGATTGTATCTCCCAAACATCCTTAAGACTCTTCTTGAGGTTATTTACATTCAACATTCCGAAAACGTAATCAGCTTCGAAAAAATTAGAAATTTAGGAACAGAAACAATATAAATAGGGTTACTGAACGACTTGAGATTATATTTTACTTCTGGTCCACATGAAAACAACCTGTATTTGCTACAAATGCGTTTTCTTACTTTAAATCTGTGGCGAACTCTACACTAAACGTAAAATTGGCTTACGCCATATACCTAACAATCCCTTTCTTCAAATTGATAGTGAACTTTGAACAAAACCTAAAAAATCTAATTTCAGGTTGAAACCCAAATGGGATTGGATAAAATATTTGTACTCGAACAATTACAAGTCGCTCTTGCAAGTGATGCTTTCAGTTCTTCTGCACCACTTAATTCAAATGCTTCCACACCAAGCGAAATCGACGATAAATTCGGCGTAATTAGTAGCAGTAAAGGTAACTAACGATAAGAATTTCGTTTTCGATAGAAAATTTTCATCATCACAATCAGTGCAAGGGGATAAACCATAAGCCTCTGTTTTAGCTACATTTTTATTCCCTCTGTCACATGGTTTACTATGGTTTTATCCTTGGGCTGTCCCTCTAAAACAACATCTTTTTAAAATTCTCGAAATGGAGTTTGCGTTAAAATTTTACTTCATAAATTTTATTTTTTTATTCAAAACCATCTGGAACAGTAAACGTCAAGGCCAGAAAATGTTTTAAAATACACGTCATCTTCAATCCAACTACAGCATAGGGTTCATAAGAACCTTTTGCCCAGCGTCCTCCCTTCCCAAGATAAAAATGTTCAGTCTCTCAGAGTCTCTGAAAGCGAGACTCGAGTCTCCGTTTCTCATCTNTCTACCCCTCCTAACTCCTGTTTCTGCCTCTAATATGTCTCTGACTAGACCTTCATGCCTAAGAAGGTGTCCTACCAACCTATCTCGCCTAATTTTTATTGACTTCCACAGAGTCCTCTGTTCTCCTATTCACTAAACCGTTAAAAAGTTATTGGAATTTTAAAAAATTGTAATTTTACACGTCATTTTATGGAGATTCGTTAACCCAACAGATTAAATTTACTTTTATTAACAGAAAAAAAGCTACCAGAAATTTCAAACTTTTATAATAAGTAACTTGAACTCTAGAGAATTACTTTAGCGTAAGGTAATTCAAATTCACTAAATGGTTATCGAGGAAAAAATTGAAAATTAGCTGAAAATCTCGTTTTTTACTTGATAATATAATGATAATATTTATAATTGTCTGAAATAAATGCAATTTTAAAGTTTTAATTATTATTTAAACATATTAAAAAGTTTTACGCTCATTATTTATANTCAAACTACAAGACTCAAAAGTCTCATTTTATCCGCGGTTTTCCCGTATCAGGACAAAATGAGACTTTTGAGGAGTAAAGATTATTTAGGAAACCTCATTTTGTCTTCAAAAAGTCTCATTCTTTTCTTGTTGAGGTTAAATTGAGGACTATTGCCATAGGATTGCAGACATTGAGAATAAAATGAGACTTTTTAGAATCCAATGTGATGAGTCTTATGAAAACTTATTGAGGTATCTGAGATTAAAAACGTCTAAATGAGGAAAAAATGAGTCTAAATAGTTCATTTGAGGATAAAATGAGTCCCAATTTTTCGACTCGGGTAGGGGGTTACTTTTCTAAACAAGCGGACATTGAAAGCGGAAAGCGCCTTATTTTCTCAAAATTAGATCATCAAGGTAGTGATAAAAGATTTAAAATACTGATGAGCTTGCACCACGTCGAAACGAACAAGATCAAGACTAAAACCTAGACCAAATACACAAGACCAACCAAAAAACATTATTAGAATTTGAAATTTTCGATTTGCTTTAGTTACTAGATTTTAACACTTAAATACAAAATAGAAACTTTACCACTGTTTAAAAAAGAATGTCCTCGAAGTAAATATTCTTTACTCCTATATCTGTAGGACTAGGACAGTGTTGGCCTTGATCTTACTTTGCTCATTACTAATTTAGACAAAGAGACCTCGGTTTACTCAATTAAATTCGCGTGCATTGAAACAAAAAGGGTTACCCAAAAAGGGGAAATTATGAAAATAAAATCTAATATAGATACTGAATTCTTTACAGGTCTTCTTATATTTCTTTGGATGATACACATATGTATGTGTATAAAATTCATTTTTCAAGGTACTACCGAGTCAATTACGACGCTATGCTTTGGGATCGTCTCCAGAGAGCCCTTTTATCCTCAGGCCCTGGTAATATCCACGTCCTTAACCGCGCGCAGATTATCGATGATGCATTCGATCTAGCGAGGGCAAACATTCTCTCCTACAATTTGACGCTCCAAATTACTACCTATCTCAAATACGAATCGGAGTATTACCCTTGATACGCTGCCTTGCAGTGATTTGCATTCCTTAGGCAGAGATTTTCTTCTTATGAACTACTTACGTCCTTGTTAGATGTTAGTTTGCGTAATTTCATTTTATCAGTCGCTCTTGAAAATATAACTGAAAATGTAATACTACTAAAAATAAGGACTTTTATTTTAATTTTTGGTAATTCCTGTATCTAGGGAGTCAAATAAGTCAGGACGAAAGGAGTAGTAAGGATACAAAGCAGAGGATAGCGCAGGGTCGAGTCGCCGTGAATAAAAAAAGTCACTTCTAAGCTCGCGAACGGTTAATTTAGAAATTCGAATGTGTATATTTATAGCGCGAAGATGTACGGGTGCGAAACATGGATGGTAGGCGCGCCGGACAAAATAAGGTTAGAAATGTTCGATATGTGGCGTTACGGTCGAATGATAAGGATACCGTAGATAGAGAAGGTTAGAAATGAAGAGGTATTAGAAAGAATAGGAGTATTTGTTGTTCTATTAAATACCACCCTTGCCAATGTCTCAAACCAATCATTAAGTCCTGATCAAAAAGTCGTTTAAACACTAAACCAATGAAATTTTAATTCTATATGTTTATCTAGGACTTTTTTGTGGCTAATTCGCAACTCGTTCTCAAAATACATCACGTAAACTATTTGAGTGACTTTTAAATTTGAAAACTTACCTGATTAGTACTAATCTAAGTAGGAATAACTGTTACGAAATTATAATGAGACATGGTTTTTCAAATCGTTTTTACTTTTCGTCAATGCCGTTATTTTGTGCACAGCTGTTTTCAATATTTTTAATAATATAAAACTATGGTGACAATTACTAATTAATTATTTTTAAGTAATTGAAGTAAGTGATGTTACATAAGTACATAACTAACTGTAAGTCAATAAATGCTTTTGTACTTCTTAACATTATTCAATATTTTTTAATACCAAAATTAAAAAAAAAAATAACAGAACAAATCTTTAGGTAAATCCTAACTTGTCCCATAATTACCTATGTAAGGTACATTTCTAACGTTGCTACACATGGTAATCTTAAAAACAATTTGCAGATTTTCATTTTTTTTTGTATACGATTTGAAATTTTTCCGTTATTAACAATTGAGTGAAACTGATAGCATCTACTTGTACTGGATGATGGAAATTCAGTTTAAAGTTAAATTAAAAGCATGTATCAATTTGAAAAACTTATCAATTTAATACTAGTCTAACGTATTGCTCTTCCATCTCTGGTCAGTTACTTAATCTAATACTAATTATTACTCCAACATATTCGACAATTCGCTAATCTAGTATGCGCGTATCAACGTTGTTCCTGTCCTGTTGTTATACTTCGTTTAGTTTCTGTACCGATGCGACCTTCAGTTTGACCGGCGCAAAGTAGAAAAGAACAGCACTAGGCCAGAAAAGAAAGGAGACAACTCTTAACCGGTGAGGAGCGTATAATCCGTACNCGATTTCAAATAGATTTTTCTTTTGAAAATTAATTAATCATTCAGGCATACGTGCACAAAATAGATATCAAAACATCGAAACAAGGTAATTAAATTTATATAAGCTATAAAGCTAAAAAGTGCTTTAATAGTATTTCAGTGGTTAGAGAAATATAAGGTACTTAAGTGCATTTCGATGAATTAAATTTTTATCAGTTATTCGAAAACTACAATCAGCAATAGGTACAAATCTTAAATACAATAAAACTATAAAATATATTCAATTATTTTAATATTACAAAACAGTGGTAATCTTTCATAGACTTACTAAATCAGTTCACACGTCTTTGCTTACTATGTTTTACCTTTTTAACCGACAGGAGGGAGTTCTCAATTCGACTGTACTTATAAATTGATTTTGATGATTCTTTTTTTGTTTGGTAGACCATACTACAGAGGTGATCCTATATAAATTTTATGGAAATTGATTCGGTGCTTATTGAAAAAAATTAATAAAAACAAGAAATATATAGGTACACACTAAAAATTGAAAAATAAAGTTAACTTTTGAAAAAAAATACAGAAACCGGCTTCAAGACTATACCTACATGTACAAACTTAAACTAAAAAGTAGAAAATAATATTTTAATTACTTCAGTGCAAAGTTCATTACAGAACAATCGACATAATAATTGACACTTGATTAAATAATTAATATATGAATGGGAAGCTACCTAGATCAGATAAAAGAAATCGGGCGATAAGTTTGTTGCAAAGGCAGGATTAAACTGTCCTTCTTAACAGTCACCCACTACAAAAATAAGTAATTATAAATTGTAAATGAACATAAGTATCAATAATTTTGTCGATTGTTCTATAAATTTTCACTTTTCTTTGAAATAATTATTTTCTACTTTTTAGTTTCAGTTTATATATGTATATAGGTATAGACTTGAAGTCGGTTTTTGTTTTGTTTTTCTAAAAATTAACTTTATTAGTGAAACACGTGCGACTGTATTATTTTAATGTCCAGAATCTATACTTTTTCTATATTACTTAACTTTTCTTTTTCTATCTTACTGAACATACTTTTATAAAAAAAATCATTGTTTCAGAATTTTCGTCTTCAGAGAAGCATCGAAGGTAAAGGTAAGTTTTTAAAAATTTTACTGTTGTAAATATATTTATTTGTATACAATACCTATCCCTATTTTTGCGGCCATTGAATAATAAAATCAGGAACTAAATGAAATGGGTACCTAAAATATTTTATATTTTAAAGTTCCGAATAAAGGAAAACTTTGATCATACAATTTTAGTGTACAGTTACCATGCGCCTACTTAAAATTTTGGGGTTGACTTAGGTACATTACTTTAAAACTAAAAAGGTGTCGTTAATATGGAAAAGGTATTCACATTTCTGAATTCAAGACAAATGAAAACTGTCGCCGCTCCTTCCGACTATACTCGCGCTGTTAAGTAGTAGTATTTTAACAAATTACATATTTGTCANCTCAATGAGTGAGTAATTTGTAGACTTTCGAAAATATAGTAGAAGATTGAAAATATGAACTGGTCTCAAGTGATAAAATCCAACTTTTCGCTTAAAAGTTTGTGAGCTTTTTCAAGAATTAACAACAACACATTATTAATTAAAATTGTTTACCAAAATTAATGAAGTTTCTTGAACTAATAAAAATTAACGAAATAGAGTTTCAACTACTCACAATTATTCAATTTTGCCAAAGGATTTCAACCAATTTGGTCCTTAAAGCAACCACATAAACTTTTGCGCGAATCTTTTTGTCACTTGGTTGCAGTTCAAATTTACATTTAGTGGACAAAAATCCGTAGAGAATATGGAAATTCTTAAAAATGTATCTTAGTCAGTTATTTTAATGTTTACTTTTAGGTACATGAACAATGCTTTAAACTCTTCAAATGGTGTAATACGGAAACACGATGTTAGTTCAGCGTTTTTAGCAATTTATTCAAGTAATCTCGAAGGAATCAATATCACGTTAAATTACATACAGAACAATTATCAAAAGATTATTGATTAGTAAGTCTAAGTATTAATATTTACCGTTAAGAACTACAGCAAATGTTTATATGTGATTCTTTTCCGATGATGTCTATCTAATACTTATCAAATTTTTTGTTTTCAAGTTTTGACGGTACCTCAACATTGCTGGGTATTTTATCTGATATGGTAAACAGGATGACCACCGAAAGTCAAATTAGAAAGGTAAATAGACACAAATCTTTTATTTTACATGGAATAAAGTTTCATTAATCGTTATCCCTCATTAATACAGCTGGAGTCATGGATTTCCGCAAATTCAAACAGTTTATCATCTATTTCATCCGAAGTGCAGAGCTACATTGCGAATGCAAGAAGTAATCTAGCGTTGGAACAACAAATTGCGACTGAATTATACAATTTCTTTAATTCATCTTAGAATTCATCATCTTAAGTAATACATGTGCGTTAGGCTAACACGCTAGAAGCCTTATTCATTATTTCTTTTAATTGCCAAAGTAAATGACTAATTATAACAATCCTAAAAATCCAAATAAAGTATCTGCTTGTATACAACAAGGTTTTTTATTAAACTTACAAAAAGACAGTCAACTTTTGTCTGTTGATGGTGCCTATAATTATAATGAGAATGGAATTTAAGGAAAAATAGGCAAATCCATCCAAAATTGGTAAACATTTAAAATATATTTACGTATTTTGTCCACGTACTTACTGCTAAACTGCCTTCTTCTTATAAACGCACATACTTAAATCCTTTTTTATAGATGTATCCTTTTTATTTTACAGGAATGTATACGTTTTTATTTTACCGGAAATTAAAAGACTAAACGTACTTACATTACCAGTCGTTTGCCATTAAAATTTACATCTTTCTCGTCCAAATTCCATACCGAACACTTGTGATAGATAAAGTTTTGCATCCAAAACACTATATTTTCACTACCACTCTTTATTAAAGTCACCATTGCAAAAACGCCGATTTTGTTATTAACGTATTTAAATTCACAATTAAATATTCCGTGCGAAAACCATTACCCAAAAGCTCACCGAGACAACTGACTCAAGGACACTTTCACTTTTTAAAGACGAGCATGCGTGCAATTTCTTGTCCTGTGTTAGATATGTACCTATCGAGCATGTGCAGACAGTCAGTTATTTAAGCAAATCTTAAAGCCGCGCACAGACTGAGCGACAACAGCCCGCGACAAGGTTTCCGATTTTATCATTTAACAAACTAATAAATCAGTTTATTATTATTATCTATATCTATAAATATCATGAAAATTGATTTATTAATTATTTGGACTAATGCCAATTGTTCGTGGTAAACCTAGAAGTTTTGTTTACCGATTTAATTCATTTTTTAAAGAAAAACAATGAAATTTTGTTAACTGAAAATTAAGAAGTCTATTAATCCAATACTAAATATAAGAATAAAACTTTTGCCACTTGTTGAAGATCAATTCTACAATCTTTAAATTTCAAACTCAGGTCATCTTTGGGCATCTCTACAATCAGTATCATTGTCCATTCGATACTTGCTAACATAAATACCATTTGGAGAACCGGACGGAACACCTGGACATCCAGTTTTCCGCATTATTTTAAGTCCAAAGGTGGCAATTACCCAATTAAGATCTATACTCATTTTTAGCAAAGTTTTTTATACAATTCCGTTGCTACAACTTCATTACTTTGATAATACTGAACCATCGACTTGGTTCAAGTCCAGATTCTAACCTCGCAGTATCAAATGTATGTATTAAGAAATGATAGTGAATGGATTTTAATAAATCTCCAAAGTACAGAAGATTATTTTGAAGTTTTGAAGCGATGTTGGATATTTTGTAAAACGAAATATAACCAAATAATTTTTAGGCAATTACTTCTATTCACACAGACGATATCCATCATTGATCTGAGTATTTTAATCTCATATCGGCAAAAAAAAAATTTAATCCAAGTTTAAAGCGACCAATGCACTGAATGGGATCAAACAGTTGACAGAAAGATTCCATTAGTGTCTAAGGCTACTAATCCTGCTTGATTTATGGAACAAGCAACGTCCATGTTGTAAATTGTCAAACGTACTATGTACAGGGTGATTCTCAAACTGAAGCTAGCAATACAGGAAAAATTGAGATAACATTTTAAAAATAACATAGAAAGGATTTCTTTTGAAAGTCAAAATATGGACATGTTCGAATAATATTCCCGAGTCAAAAAATTGGGACTCATTTTGTCCTCATTTGATCTCAATAGAATTTTTAGGGATATTTCAAACTACAAGACTCAAAAGTCTCATTTTATCCGCGGTTTTCCCGTATCAGGACAAAATGAGACTTTTGAGGAGTAAAGATTATTTAGGAAACCTCATTTTGTCTTCAAAAAGTCTCATTCTTTTCTTGTTGAGGTTAAATTGAGGACTATTGCCATAGGATTGCAGACATTGAGAATAAAATGAGACTTTTTAGAATCCAATGTGATGAGTCTTATGAAAACTTATTGAGGTATCTGAGATTAAAAACGTCTAAATGAGGAAAAAATGAGTCTAAATAGTTCATTTGAGGATAAAATGAGTCCCAATTTTTCGACTCGGGTAGGGGGTTACTTTTCTAAACAAGCGGACATTGAAAGCGGAAAGCGCCTTATTTTCTCAAAATTAGATCATCAAGGTAGTGATAAAAGATTTAAAATACTGATGAGCTTGCACCACGTCGAAACGAACAAGATCAAGACTAAAACCTAGACCAAATACACAAGACCAACCAAAAAACATTATTAGAATTTGAAATTTTCGATTTGCTTTAGTTACTAGATTTTAACACTTAAATACAAAATAGAAACTTTACCACTGTTTAAAAAAGAATGTCCTCGAAGTAAATATTCTTTACTCCTATATCTGTAGGACTAGGACAGTGTTGGCCTTGATCTTACTTTGCTCATTACTAATTTAGACAAAGAGACCTCGGTTTACTCAATTAAATTCGCGTGCATTGAAACAAAAAGGGTTACCCAAAAAGGGGAAATTATGAAAATAAAATCTAATATAGATACTGAATTCTTTACAGGTCTTCTTATATTTCTTTGGATGATACACATATGTATGTGTATAAAATTCATTTTTCAAGGTACTACCGAGTCAATTACGACGCTATGCTTTGGGATCGTCTCCAGAGAGCCCTTTTATCCTCAGGCCCTGGTAATATCCACGTCCTTAACCGCGCGCAGATTATCGATGATGCATTCGATCTAGCGAGGGCAAACATTCTCTCCTACAATTTGACGCTCCAAATTACTACCTATCTCAAATACGAATCGGAGTATTACCCTTGATACGCTGCCTTGCAGTGATTTGCATTCCTTAGGCAGAGATTTTCTTCTTATGAACTACTTACGTCCTTGTTAGATGTTAGTTTGCGTAATTTCATTTTATCAGTCGCTCTTGAAAATATAACTGAAAATGTAATACTACTAAAAATAAGGACTTTTATTTTAATTTTTGGTAATTCCTGTATCTAGGGAGTCAAATAAGTCAGGACGAAAGGAGTAGTAAGGATACAAAGCAGAGGATAGCGCAGGGTCGAGTCGCCGTGAATAAAAAAAGTCACTTCTAAGCTCGCGAACGGTTAATTTAGAAATTCGAATGTGTATATTTATAGCGCGAAGATGTACGGGTGCGAAACATGGATGGTAGGCGCGCCGGACAAAATAAGGTTAGAAATGTTCGATATGTGGCGTTACGGTCGAATGATAAGGATACCGTAGATAGAGAAGGTTAGAAATGAAGAGGTATTAGAAAGAATAGGAGTATTTGTTGTTCTATTAAATACCACCCTTGCCAATGTCTCAAACCAATCATTAAGTCCTGATCAAAAAGTCGTTTAAACACTAAACCAATGAAATTTTAATTCTATATGTTTATCTAGGACTTTTTTGTGGCTAATTCGCAACTCGTTCTCAAAATACATCACGTAAACTATTTGAGTGACTTTTAAATTTGAAAACTTACCTGATTAGTACTAATCTAAGTAGGAATAACTGTTACGAAATTATAATGAGACATGGTTTTTCAAATCGTTTTTACTTTTCGTCAATGCCGTTATTTTGTGCACAGCTGTTTTCAATATTTTTAATAATATAAAACTATGGTGACAATTACTAATTAATTATTTTTAAGTAATTGAAGTAAGTGATGTTACATAAGTACATAACTAACTGTAAGTCAATAAATGCTTTTGTACTTCTAATAAGAGATCTATAAGGACAATGAAATTGTCGCCAAGAACCAATTCCTCTTAATAGATAAATGTTCCAGTAAGTAAGTAATTGGCATTATTTCTCGAAAAATAATCAATAATTTACTATCAAATACCACTTATAAATGCGTCTGTACCCTTTAAGATAGGTAGGTACCAAATAATGACCATTGGTTTTCACTTTTTAATAATAGCAATCCTTCTAAGTACTTGGCGACAACGATACTTTAAATTAAACTTAAAAAATTTAATTATAGATTATGTTAAGTCCGATTTGCGTGTACATTACCAGAATAATTTTTCAACCACTTCACTATCTTCTCGAAATTTCTCTTTTTCCAATTCACGTTGGCTTCTGCCTGTTCAATGGCTTGCTGAATAGTCCTGGTCACTACGTCTTCTTCCATTATCTTCGCAAATCTCTCCATCTGTACCATTATAAACGCATATCTTATATTGTTTTAAGAGATAGACAAACAAAGCATTTTTATTAAAAAAATACCTGATTCGTTAGGCACGGTAAGAAAAACGTTAAATGCAAATAAGTTTTAAAAAAGTCATACCGCTTCCTACAGCACATAGTAGGAAGGGCAAGATTAAAAACACCGCTTTTCTAAAAGATGTCATAAAATGTTTAGTTCTTTTATGGAAGCATTAAAAAAAACAGCTTTTAAACAGAAGCACTTATTACTAGATATGTTCCAATTTGTTTAACTATAAATATCAAGCGCAACCTTAAACATAAATGAGTTTTAAGGAGGGTCATAAAATTTATATAACACGTTTTCTACTCCTGCTGTTTTTTTTTAATGATAACCTACTTCTAAAATAAGTCATAAGACACTGGATTTTATTTTGTTATTGCTGGATATAGGTATGGTGCCATTAAACAGAACCAACCTTTAAAAAGCACCATAAAATATTCAAATAAAATTGCACATTGGTATTTGTTCAAGTTTTTTTTAAATATTTTGCACACCAAGTGCAACACTACATGTCACTGATTATTAAGCAAGGTCACATATGCTTTATTTATTTATTTCTCTTCTAAAAATTATTTCGTAATTTTTTATGGTCAGGATTACCTTGAATGCAGTGCCATGACAAATAGTGATGTCGTTAAAAATAATTTTAGGAATAGGATTGGGCATTTATAAAATTTAATGACTACGTTTAAAAGTCAATACCATTTAACGTTGCGCGTACCCTAACTCAACTGCTACTTGCACTGATTAAATAACCGATGTACAGAATGACTTGGCTAGCAATATTTTTCAAATATTAATAGCTGCAATTGCTTAAAATTAATTAATTTTTTTTAAGAAGAACTTACCTCTTCTATTTCTAAGCGAGTGCTAGACTTCGATGTGCAGCTTCTGATTATGGCATTAAGTAGCATTATAGAAGATCCAACACTAAAAAAAGACACTTACTTAACATCAAAAAGTACGACGATTTTCTTTGAACTTACTAATCCCTAATTTTCAGCCAGTTCTCTTTTAGAAATCTAAAAGCCAAATCCTGACCGACAGGATTATTGGCAACCGCTGAAAAGACTCTCGCTGAATCCTGCTTTCTAATCCCTGAATTTTCTGTTACTGCCCAGTGGAGATATCTACTCAATAGCCAGATTTCCCGGGAGCAGCCCAGCGCTGTCAGGAGAATCTCCTTGTCGGAGCCGACCTCTGATGCAGCGTATCGCTTCCATGCAAAATCCCATTCTTCCTGTCCTCCAACCCGAATAGCAGTGCAGTATACCAAACTCTTTATATTCGGTGATATTCTAACAAGTAAAAGTTAATGATACTATTTACAACATTAAAAAAATACGTTTAAGAAAGTAAACCAATCCCTAGGGATTTTTAATACTGAATAGGTTGGCTCATTTGTAAAGAATTGTTAACATATTCAAATCCCTGGCGCCTCCAGCAGTTTTCAAAATTTAAGAAATATTTTTTATTTAATTACGTAATTTTTAATAAATATTTTTTATGTAATTACGTAATTTTTAATAAAGAAACGAATAACATTAGTGTCCGACCGAAAGTTCGGTTTCGGTCTAGTTTAGGCAAAAAAAACGAGCTTCGGTTTCGGCGGCAAACCTGCCGAAACTACGACCGAAACCGAAACTGCGTTTGGGAGTTCTCGTGCTCTGCTCGGTCATATTCGGCGCGTTAAATTCCATCCAAGCGAAGTAGATTAGTAGACATTTCGCCATTACATAAGATTGTTTAACTATGAATACTAATAAGAAATAACGATTACAGGTACCTACTTGAAATTATTAGTAGTCGTCGCCTTTTGCAATATTATGATCACGATTAGTTTATAATTTAGTCGTTTACCTTTTGTTTCTGTTGAAGTTTAGTGTCATTCAACATGACGAATTAAGTTTAGAAGAAGTTAATTTGTTCTTAATTAAGATAAAAGTGATTTATTTTGTTTTGTTTATTACTTAAATATTAAGTTCCTATACCTATTGTGATATTAGGTAACAATAACAAAAGTAATTTTATG